TATATATATATATATATATATATATATATCGCTAAAGTGTTAATGGTGCGCACCAGGACAGCTTGTTGGTAGACTTGCATCATACAATAATAGTCCCAATAAAAACAGCAGCGAGGTATGAGAAATGGATGCGAAGTGGCAAACGTGAGCGGTGGTACGCTATTAGTCACTTCTTCGCATACCAAACTGACGTGCTTATGAACTGCATCTACGGAAGATTGGTCGTCAAAGGGAAGGAGGTAAAAGATAATCCAGAAGACACATGAGCCTGTCTTCGTCTACTTGCCCTTAGATGTGCAACAAGCCAATCTTCCTGATGGCACCACGCGACTGCCGATGTGGCATGAAATAATTCTCATCCGCACAGTTCATGGTTGCATATGGTCTAAGTTACTGCCAGAATGCCTAAACCTGGACAGAAGGATGATTTAGGGACCCCAGTTAAAGCCTTGCCGCAAGCCAGCAACGGTTGGGATCAGGTTACCGGAATGGTAGAACTTTCAAAGAACACGCTTCCTCACGCCCAGCCTGAAGGATCAGAAGCCGTGTTCGTCTGATCCATCCACCGGCCAGCCGTGCATGAAAGCTAATGCAAATGTCACAAGGACAACTTTCAGTATGTCTTAATGAGTCGTGGATGTACACAGATTGTCGTACCTCGGTAATTTTCAGTCCCTTGGTGACACAGCGTTCATCCTTTAATCACAGAATTATCATCACTCAGCCAGATGTTCACTGGTTACCCGAGTGATGACTTCTGAGTTGGAAGGTTGACACATCAGTTTACATGCAGAACGAGATTCCCTTGTGAAAACTCCCAAATCTCCCCAACTGTCAATGGTAATCGGTGAAGCTTACGGAGAAGTGATCACAGAAAGCCACTATAGGTCTAATATTACAGAATATCCAAATTTTTAAGACAGGTAATTGGTAGGCCCATGCAGTGAACAACATGACGATAGTGCAACAGAGTAATGCATCGGTAAACTACATCACAATGGAATTCAGTGCAGTACAATATGGTATACTGTGGTATAACACAACAAAACGCAGTGCAATGCAGTACAATACTACACAGTACAATCCAATTCGCTTCAGTGTAGTACCACAATATCCTACGATGCGAATATGCGAAACGTTTAATGCAGATGAGAAACAAAAAGACATACCAACAAATTAGAATATGTACTTCGACTGGCGAACAACATGAGGCGGTCAGGGTTCGAGACCCGGATAGAAATGATCATGACAAGAAGTGTGGACCTTTTACAAATCATCCGATCCACAAGCACAAGAGGAAAATTCATCTCACCTACAAATCTAATGAAAGCCAGTACAGTGTAGTTGTCTTACTTGAGTAACCCTCAGTTTTTATAAGAGACATTGGATATCCTATAAAGTTATGTAACGATGATCCCTTTATTGACAAACGCTATCCACACAGACCGATTCCTGTCCGAGGAGCATACCAATTAGACTTTCGTTTATGTCCTTGCTTGCTTCACTCACTTTATGCTACCTGGAGCAAAATAGAATGTGGTTGTAACGGTATTTCGTCATCCTCGCTAACTTCCTCATACAACTCAGTTGTTACTTGGCTCTGGCCAATGCAGGTTCAGTCCTTTGCAATCCCTTCAAAGCTTGGCTCACACTGCACAATGTTGTCTCAACATTCTATCTCGTCTTCTACAGATTATCCTTGATTGGTTTTATGTATCACTTGCTGAGTGGCAGGTTTTTATCGGTTCCCTTTCTCAGTTATCTTTCGACTTCTGGATTGCTGCCCATGCTCACATCCTGTTCGAAAAGTTGATTTTAAAGGTAAGTCACTTTTGGGTACTTAACGTAGCGGTGCAAAAATAGACTCATTGTCTTGCACCAGCTACATATACTCAGTTTTCCACATTTTTACTCTTTTTTGCACGACGTATTTGTGTGTGAGTTGTAAGTCGATACATTGTTTTGGGTTATCCATTGACTATTGAAGTGTTGTACAGGTCTTTGGCCAGTGTTGTCGCTGCAGAAGAGCGGTGTTTTCATCCACTCGGTGTGNGTGTTGTCGCTGCAGGAGAGCGGTGTTTTCATCCACTCGGTGTGCGAATTGAGTAACTTCAATGAACTGCAAATCTTATGTACAAATGTGAGTGACGTCTTGTGCTTGTAACATTTAAGTAGTCTCGAAGGTGCAATCCTATATGGATTTTATTACCTTCACGTCTACCTTGGATAAGTTCTGTTAGTTCTTGATGACGGCTACCTAAAGTTCTGTGTTTGTTAATCAAGATGAATAGTTTTCGAACGGAAAACAATAAACCATACATGTTGGTAGACCAGTGACCAAGAATGAGAATAGAGCAACTCTCCTTGGGGTTTTCCGTACGGCTATCTTTCAAGCGGTGATAACCTAATGGTTGCAGGAATTGAACGGTACCGCAAGCATGAATTGAGTCCGCACTCGTATTCCAAAGTTACAGGATAGTTTGTTACAGTTTGCTCAGTCTGACCGCTTAATTGGTTACGGATGGAATGGCGGTAGGCCACGCGTGTTGGACATCAGGATTCGACAACCTGCCTAATAGTTCTCCCTTGCTATTTCGGTACCGTCACGAAGAGATTGGACCGTACCGTGGTGTGACGGTTTGCGCACCTCAGCGATCCATTGAGCTACACTGGAGAGTGTCCCCGCGACACTCACAGAGTCTCTCATACCAGGTTGGTCAATGGTTAGAGGTGTGACGAACACAGTCTCCTGGTCCTCCAGGTTGGGGGTTGGAACATGTGGCGACTTGTTCCGTAGAAATGGTTATGCATTTGCATTTCCCGCTTTGGTTGAGGACCCTAATCGTCCTCTTGTTTAGGTGTGGACGCCCTGGCAATATCCCAGCCCACGTACAACCATGAACCATGAACTGCTACTTCGGTACCGCGTGGTCGTCAACCCCACTAGCAAATACGACACGCATGAATCTTGGCGGTCTTGTGCGTTGAAATGTCTTTCGGACTCTGACTACTCACTAGTAGTTAAATCACTGGTAATGTTCAGTGAGCTGCTGTATCGGAAATCTGTTCCTGGGTTAACAGCGCATGTTCATTTTTTTTATTTTTATGCTTAGAATGCTAGAAGGAGATGCGGGATTCCTCGGGTTAGAAGTAGACAGATACTTATTGATAGTAGTAGGCTTTTAGTTGGAAATGGTTAATGAACAGAGCTCTCGGGGGATCCTACATCTTGCGTGCAAGTGCCACATCTTGTTTCTCAAAACCGATCGTTTGAGTTACCCAGTCGTGAGCGAGTGGCCTGTAATACCGGCTTGCAAGATGTCGTGGCAAAACAGCATTTTGTTCCAGGCCCATCTTAATAGCTTCTGACTTAATAGTTTTTACTCTGGAAACAGAACATGTTAGCTATTCATAGAGACAATCCACTTGGAGACAATGACTTAGTTGTCTTACACTGGAAGGCTTGGGTGGTCCGGGGACGCAAGGATTAAAGTATGGAAGTCCGACTTTTTATGTTGCTACAGGAAGTAATAGACATCCTTGGATCTGATATTATTCAGTTTCTTACCGCGATTTTTTGGGTTGCCACCGGTCATTCTTTTTGGGGCACCGAAGTTTGCTGTTTTCCAGCCAACCTTTTCACCTGCCTTTCCATCGAGAATCACGAATATGGAACTGCTAATCCTCTCGAGGAAAGACCTTAATCTTCACATCCTCTTAGAGGACTCAGACCTTTTCGCGTTGGAATTCTTCGTAAGAAAGATTCACTTGTTTCTGATCTGTTCCTTTTCTTCTGATTTGAGGGGCCAGGTTTCAACCAAACCAGACCATCGCTCTAGATCGGTAGTACAATTACCTTGACTTGATACTCGGTATAGCACTACAACGCTGTCACGCACTTTTACAATTTTATGATCATTGTATCTTTGAAATGTAACTGGATCATCCAAATTCATCAAGAAACCCCATTGTAATTCCAACTGTCCTGTACACATTATTTGCATGCATTCCGTAGGCGTTTCTGCTCTTTTTAGACCATAAATCCTCCGTGAGATTGATTCGGGGAGTTACGTTGATAGAGTCCATATTGATGACGACGTCATTGCTTAGTATTCAGAACCTCAATGGATTCGCCACATTTTTGCGGTTACTGTGGAACCTACTGGAATTGATGTATACATTGCAGCAAGGAAGCTAAGCCACTGCTGCCCTGGTGGTTAGTTGATACAGCGGATAATCATGGTTAGTCCGATCATCCGGGTACCATCTCGAATTTCGTTCAGTTTGCAAAGTAGGTTGCTGGAGCTGGTTTTACCCCAGTCCACAGATGCCTACAGCCGCATATGAAAATCCCACTGCGGACCATCCATGCATTAGGTCCATTGTTCTGGCATAGCTAGTCACAGAGACTGCGAGGGTTCTCTTCCACTCACGTTGTTAATGACGTTATCGCCTTCTACTGCATCTTGCAAAAGATGAAACTTCCGCTTTTTTGTGCGATTGATATAAGTAGCTTTTTCTTATACATAGCATTGTCGCTTATGTGTTCTGTCCCTCAGTTATTCGTGAACAAGCAGAATCGTCGCCTGTGTGCTTCTGCATCTCTACTCATCAGTGCCAAGTTGAACGATGTCAAGGGCAGTGATTTGAGCACACTGTTTATGGTAAGCTTAGAGTAACGTCTTTGCTGACCACATGTGAATTGCCGCTTTCCTTATCATCGCCTCCATCCTTGATTTGTAATAACGCGCTTTGAGAGCTTATGAATCGGCTGACCCGATTGCTTCGTTGTGCCGATTCAATGCATCGATCGATTTTTGTTAGTTTATAAACGCCTCGCATAAAGCGATGTTGGTTGATTCACTAAGCCTGGCTTGCGCGTACATCTTTTTTCCGATGACCGCAGTCGACTTCGTTAAGGCTTCACTTTCTTCCAGCTTCCCCCCCCCAGGCACCCACTCGATTACCTGAGGTCATTCCACACGTCCTAAAAACGTGTTCAGTAAAGTGAGTCAGAATCCATCACTTTGTTTGAGAATAATTGCACGGTCCGATTAGTCGAGGAAGTAAAGATATCGACGCACCTATTCCTGACTAGTCCTTCGTGTATCCACTCAGCCGTTCGCACTGCGAGATCAAGACCAAAGGACGTTCAAATGGGCATGCTCAAAGGAACCGGCTGACTACTCATCCATCCGACCTTTCGATGTAGTAGAAACTCTGATTTACTGCGATAGTAATGTAACGATAATCGTAGTTTCTGTTTTTCACCTAAGATTGTCCGGCGGTCATGCTGAAATTTCGGCCCCAACGGTAGGCGACACCAGTGTGACTGCTATTCAGCCTAGTTTTTCCAGCGATTGCGATCGAACAAGCTTTTTATGACTTGACCTCTGAGTAACTGACATATCTGATTTGTCAGTTAAGTGGAGAATTCGACTCAACTGTTAGATACTGATTGTAAACTTCATACAAGATGTTTAATATCTTTATCAGTAGTACTTTATTTCTTGCTTATAAAAGACAACATATAATCAGTTTACTAGGCGGCTATAGACGTTCTCCACTGTATTTCACCTACCAATATTCGTTAGAACTGCAATGGATCTGAACACGCGCTTAGATCATCTGGTGGAGAGGATCGAAATACTTTCCCTTTATTGACCACTTAAAATGTCCACCCCTTGTGGTTGGATTTACTTGCACTTCTATTCACAATATTGCTCGACCAATCGCTAGCCAAACCGTGGTCTCATTCATTAGTCTCAGCCGTAGTGAGACAGTTCCACACTCAGTACAGAACTGACCTTTATCCGTCTTCTCAGGAATTGGAGAACAACTTTCGCATCTCTCGCCGTGATTTAATACACGCGGAGTTGGACGTGGCTCTGAGTTTGGAATTTTGTCTGATCCCAAGTGAATCGGAAATCCTGGTCCATTGTTCTCGAATCTACAAGAACCTGGATCTTCCTCAACCTTATCCAGTTCGTTGTTTTGCGCCCCCATCGATTCCCCTCCAGTCTAGAGCAACCGAGTCATTGTAGCGATGTTCATTCTGTGATTTTCATCCCATTATCACTTCCGGAGAGTGTTTCTGAGTTTTTTCTTTCTTCTTCCGCGCTGTTTTTTTCTCGAAACGTGCTGCCACGAATCGCTTGTTCTATAATTTACCTCCTGTGGATGTACGTACCCCATTTTCGGTGCAAATTTGCGCAATATTTCGTTCTCTTCAGTGGCCCTTCTTTTTGTACATTCAATCTATGGTATTTCACCGACCCCTCATTGCAAAGCGGTTTCTGAGTTCCATGTTTATCGCATCTCGATAAACCACGTTTGTTTATACTTGCAAATGCATTTACCGTGACAGTCGTGGAAAAGTCTGGTTGATATTAACATCGGGTTATGTCCAGCAATGCTTCGAATCTGGCGTTCTACCCATCTCAGCTTGTACCGATGCTAATACTGTCTTGATTCATGTTCGGGTGTATTTTTTGTTGTTGCATTCTGTTTGCTTCGTGTTCTCGGTCGAAATTTTTCAAGCGTTGGATTCAGTGAAGTGCGCCACTCGGTTCAACATAGTTGCCCGACATTTTGTTCGCCACGGCTTTCTAACAGCCGCTTAGGAAGGTAGCCCTAAATTCAGTAGTCAGCTAACACCATGACTCACCTTTCCCTTGTTTTCTATTTTCAAATGACCTGACATGTTTGCCTTGCGGCGACGCTCCCATACTTAACACTGACCTTGACCGTAGGCCGGGTCCACATCTGTTCTTGCACTGTCTCCATACCCAATGGTTCATGCTAGCGAAAAAAGAGTGCATGGGAAAACAGATATGGGACAGTCGAAACGGAACTATCGTCTTGGTGGAACATGCCTCCACTAGCCCATCAGATTTATCACCTTTTACCTCATCCGGGGACTGATCCTGCTGCTTGTTAAGGCCGTCATCTTCCAAACTCGAAGCCATGCTTCCGCTTGACGACCGCATCTTCCACTCCATCTCCGCAGGGTGTTCGCAAACGACGTCGGTTGTACGGTCCAGAGAAATTGTGTACTCTCCTTACTATGCATAGCATTTTGTTAGTGTACTAGAAAAACGTAATCATTTAGCCGTGGTACCCTTTCGGTAACTAACTGCCATGCCATCAGAAGGAAGCACGAAGTCTAGGATACTGCAAGGTTCCCCAATCCTAGACAGGGGTGGTCGTGAAGCAGAGGTTTGGTTCGAACCACGGATTTTCCGGTCAGTTAATGCGCGCTCCAACCACTGAGCCATCTTGTTAGTTTACCAGTTAGACGTGGGTGTACTCTGTCTACAAGCCTACGTCAGACTTTCGTCCGCTAACTCAGTCAGTGCGATACAGTGCGTCTGTCATAAACACCATGTTCGGATGAAAAAACGTTTTCCTGTCTTGGCGGTTAGGTTTTCTCCCGAAATCCAGGGAAGAATCGACTGCGCTTGAACATCGCATACTCCTTCTTTGGTCAACAAGGCCTGTTTTTGACACTGCAGTCAACAGGATGTGGCAAACGCAGACTGCGCTTTAGTCATCTAGCAGGATGCTCCACATCGTGCATACAATTCTTACGCAGTTGGTGATGAAACTCTCAACTGTCTCAAATGGTTTATTATGTCACTCCAGCCGAAAACTAAACTGTCCAAGTGGTTTTAGCTATGTCTGGACTGATTCAAACATGAAATTATTGACTATGGTAAACAGTCATTTGACAGGGAGCAAGTGGTGGTCTGGGGGCGCTTGCTTTCTACGAAAAGTCCTACCTGTCATTCTGGGAAAGAAATCGACACGGTACCACACACCCAAAAATCTGCTAGATCAAATCAACCGCCTATAAGAAATCTTCACGGCTGAATTGAAAATGTCCCTCAGTGCTGGTTGCTTCGTCAGGTCTTTTGTGGACCCATATCGAGGCCTAATGGCAATCAAACCGTTCTCTACCCGAAGATCCGGACCGGCTATGCCCATATAGGATATCACTAAATGAAACATCCAGCTAGGTGAAATACGGCAGATACTTCTCTCGCTATATGGTATAACAGGTCATCATAAATTTGAATGTCTCGAGGAATCCCTCAGTTAAAATGAAGCTGATTTAGCTTATTTCACGTTCCAGTTCCGCAGCCTTCTGAAGGTGTGTCAGAAATGTAAGATGAGTACAGCACGACTGTTTTCAGTAAACCTTATTTACTAACGTATCACATTTATTTACTTGAATGCACTGATCTCACTCTTCTAGCCAACAAGGGTATCTTAAACAACCTTCACATTGTCATACAAGAGTTAAAAAACTAATTCTATCCTCTCGATGCTCGCCCGTGGTTATTAGCCTGTCGCCCCTGGGTGCAAATACGAGGCAAGCCAAGATATGCGTCTGAGTACATACAGTCAGTATATCAGAGCCGTTCTAGCTTTCCTGGCACCCGAAACAATTAGTGTTTTTACTGTTTCAAGACAGTCTTGTGAAGTGCAGGTTACGATATCAAGCGTTATACGAACTGTTTCATCAAACATTTTGCAAAGGACTATCTCATGAACTGCGTACAATGTAGGTCCAAGTAGAACATGATGTTAACTGAAATTCGGAAACTGTACCAACGTGGTGAATCCCACAATTGAAGAATTTTGTCGAGGGTTATTGAGGAGTTTCCACAAATTTATGGATACCATGTTTCGGCAAGAAAATATGCTGTGATATCCCGAATATTCTGCCAACTAAAACACGAGGCGTCTTTTTTGCAATATTATCTATCAGCCGAAAAACACGATAAGCGAGAGATTCAGCTGGGATGCAGTTGAGTTTCCCGGCAAAACGAAATTAGTTTGAGTTAGATTCACTTTCGGTTCAAGTAGAACGTTAAACTCACTGCCGCACCCATCCTTTGACAGCCAAGGAGAGGAAAACCTGTTGTGTACTGTCCCAGAGCTTCCGGAAACCATGTGTTGTGTTCTGTCAGTCTTCCCCATTAATCACCATGTTTAATGGTGGATCTTCTTCGTTCAGTATGTCGGAGCCAGGAGGGAGACATCCCATAGGTCACCTTCGTCTAAATGGTATTGCATTCAGGGGTTTTCAGTGGAGACAAGTCTTAGTAATAGTATCCACTGAAAAGACAATTGCAATGATTTTGTGTCGGTCAGCTGCCTCATCAAAGTCAAAACGGACGTCGTCCGTTGGTCGGATAGTATGAAAAGAACAAAAGCCCTATCCGTCCGATTCTGTTGACCACTCAATTTCCAGCACTTCACTGGATTTCTAAAACTACCCTTTCAGTTTCTGCGTGACCTTTCAACGACGGTCATCGTAGCCAGCCGGAATTTTAGTTTAGCACCGAGAAATTTCTCGAGACGGTCGCTAGAATCGTTACTTGCCGCGGTCGTGCTTGATCTGCTGTTTCCACCGACTGTGATAAGTCAAGTCACATTAATTTCCAACAAAACATTTACGGCAGTGTCGTGCAATAATGCTAAAAATGTTGTACCTGAGAACGGAAACAAGTAGGCGGGACACAAATTTGTTACTTAGGGGATGAGAAAACCAGCCAAACAAGGAATCACGAAACAAAACCGAGTGGAATTTCCGGTGAACACTGGCTTGTAGTTGGGCACTTGAGGTAGACTTAGCCTCCGAGAGCGACAGGTAGATGCGGTTTATTGAATATGGGGAAGCGTGAGACGTGTTAGTATGAAACGGTTTTTTAATAACACAACAACAACTTTAGTTTTTTTCCCAAAATGACATTGGAAGTGATGTAGCTTTAGAAATATGACATGAATTCGCATGAGTTTACAATCCTTTTCTCCTTCCCCCATTCCAATGTGCACTGATATGTCTTATTTGTATTTATGATGTACGTGATGCCACTATAGACATTATCTACTTGAATTCTAACCAAAAGCGCGTAAGTTGGTTAGTTGGCGAATACTAGATAAACATTGCGATGGGAATGAGAAGTGCTATTTTTGCATTAATAATTCAAGCTCTGGTGAACAACTCTCCTAATCATCTGTTAGGTGAACGGACCATTTGAACAGTTAGTCCGTCTTACGCTAAGTTCTGGAGAATTTATGATGTACCCTTGGATTCAGCGATGTCTAAAATCCCTATCCCGTATTTCATAATCATCGAAATCAACGCAAAGTGGAGTTGCTTGGGTTGTTGTTTGAAGAGGAGTCTTTTCTGGCTTACCATACCATTCGAATACCAAACTGTGTCCTTTGGGGCATTGTGTGGTTCTTCACATGAGGACCTCCGACGAAAGGGATATAACTACGTGACTTTTCACATTACCATGGAGGGTGTGTTTTCAACGACCCTCGATTAACTGCTCGTACATCCTCTAGAGAATGAAACAGCATTGAAGTCGCACACTAAGAGGATAATAATCTGAATTTTTTGGGATCGATGGCCTGCACAAAAGATTACCTTGTGAGTGGATTAGATGTCTGGCCTAAATGAGCTCTGCACATCATAATGTTCCTCGTATTAGGTTTGGCTTTTTGCTCTGTGTACATTGTGTGCAGCAAAATGAACGCATCGACCGATTCCCATTAGTTTGCGAAAACCTGGTTAACTCCAAAGACATCACAACGTACCGCATTGTGGCGTCTATCGGCGTCAATTTCTTCGGTGATATTAGTCACTTGGGTTTGGGTGTAATTCCATTACTGCGCGCAGTAAAGTTATTCTTGGCCGGACCACACGTGTGACGAGGCATGTTCAAGCGACTGATTAGTGAACAGTAGATTCTTCTGATAATCTATCAGGTGGCCTGCCTCTCTCGAAACTGACCGATTGCTTTTCCAGCAGACCTTGAAATTTGGAAACTTTGTGAATGCCCCTTTTAAGTTTAAAGTTAAAACTCTACGTACGAACAAATGAGTCCAAAGAATACGCGCGTCATCCCTCACGAAATATAAGTGAGTTTAGAAAACTTGAAAGTGATTCGCCCATTGCTCTCCACGCGCTTGAGTCAAACCGTCAACTTCGACAGAATTCAAGTCACACGTGAAACACAAGAGTGATGAGGCTTTAGAGATAAGCACAGGATCGAAATGCGTCAACCACAGTAACGGAGCCTCATCCTGTCCATCTGGCTCGGACCTAATACACGCCGTAGTAGACAATCGCCGGAGGCCAAACAGAGATCCTAAAAATGAAGTGTCACAGCCCGCACAACAACTGATGGAATGGCAATGGTACATTGACTGGAGGTGCGCATGTGAAGGGCAACTTCCCCATTGATATGGGTGTCTGTTTAAACAAGAACAAGAGAAATGTGACGCAGGTGATAAAAACACATAATTTCTTAGAGTACACAAGCAGAGTCAAGGCGGTTGGCAAAGGGACATAACAGCATACGCTCCAGGTGCTCATGACGGTTATTCTACCTCAAGTAAGTTTTACAATTTGTGGATTGCTGAATCAGGACTGATTCGATGCACGTAATTTATATGGAACGGCGCAATGGTTTTGTGACGGGATTTGACCGATACAGACTTTACGGGAGACAGTGCCGTAAGTTACCTGATATCTGGAAGCTG